AATGTATTTACGTTTAGTTAGTGCGTTTGCTAGTTTTATTTTAGTTTCAGTTTTGACTTTGTGTCTTTATTAAACAATGCACAAACAACGTTAATCTCAATAGGAGAAAATACGCCAGATTTGAGCTAACAGCTAATGGTGGTGCAACAAAAACAACAACTTCCACCTGTTGTCCATGGGAAGGTACACACATAATGAATAAACACTGAAAACATTATTTATTAACTTTAAAAAAAAACAGATCAAAATCATTAATATATCAATTCAAATGTTTTATTTGTTTTTATTATTTCATACTTGAAATAGTGGCTCTGGAGCAGCCTTCCTCGACATTGAGAAACACCCACACACTAACGAGTCAACAACGCTCTCCTTCTCTTGCTTTAGGTGCGTAAGTACCTGCTGATGCTCGATGTGAGGAAGGACCACGTGAAGTTCTGGCGGCCGCAGATATTGCTGATGGTGGCCAACCCTCGCTCCTCCTGCCAGCTCATCCTCTTCATCAACCAGCTGAAGAAGGGCGGCCTGTATGTTCTGGGCCACGTGCAGCTGGGAGATCTGGGTAATTCTCTCTGTGGACGGTCTGGCCATCTGCAGCCAACTATTAAATTATTCTTATCTGTGGACATTTAGCAGCCGACTGGAACTCACCTTTTGGCCTTTTTTATGAGTCTGGAAGCCTTTTGCTGACACATCCAATCAACTTCATCTGATTATTTGTATCACTGAGCCTGAGAGCACATGATGAGCAGGAGATATTAAAGATTGAAGTCCACGGGCACCATCATGGAGACTTTCACTTTCCATCTGCTACTCCTCGTGCATTATTAATAAACAAGTATCCTCCGTATCAATGTTACATCAGAGTTTAAAGCAGCCATATGTCCAGCTACTTGCTTGTTTTTGCTAAATGGCACACTCCAACTGTAAAAAAACGATATAATGTGTAACAGAACCAACATATTTTAGAGAGCAGAGCTGATGTATTCTTTCATTCATGCATTAACTCACAGATTACCTGTTTTTCTGCCCCCTGGTGAACACTAGGGTACATTGCAAAGTCTATGAACAATACAATTAAAACATTTAATACATTTTTGCAACTTGAACCGGACCTTTTTGGCTTGGGACTGGTTGCATTATCAAATATTTAAATCAATTGATTACATTGCATTTAATTTAGCTGACACTTTTATCCAGAGAGTCTTACAACAAGTGCAATACACCATATTGTAACCATTGTAATTGCTGGTGCATTAGTTTTAAATGGGCTAAACTCTTTAAGTGCTCACAATAGTTTGTAATATATATTTTTAATTTGAATGGTGTTTCAAAATAACTATTAAATTACCTTTTTGAAATGTTAAATTAGTTCAACTAGACTAAACTGATTGTATATAAAGTCCACCTCAACCATCTACAACAGTAAGATCCTACTTGTGCAACGATGCATCTCTATTAACAATTAGTCTTGTGATGAATATTATATATATATTAATGATATAATTATGATTTATGATCTTAAATGAGATTATACGCAGGACTTTATGAGTTTAAATGAGATTATATGCAGGACTTTTACTTTGAATTGATTATTTTAATGTTTTTCCTAAAGTATAAATAAGCTTTTCTTTACAATTCTGGTGGAAAAAAACTGAATTTTAAGTAGTATTGTATCTGATTTCTTTCCTGCGTTACAGACTCCCTGCCTTCAGACCCGGTGCAGCAGCAGTATAACTTCTGGCTGCGTCTGGTTGATAAACTCGGGGTGAAGGCCTTCGTAGATCTGACCCTGTCTCTCTCCGTCAGACAGGGGACTCAGCACCTGCTGCGCATCACCGGCCTCGGTAAACTCTCCTTCCTCTCCTCATCTCAAAGATTCAAAATTCAAAGGTTTTATTGTCATATGCACAAAGCTACCGTGTAGAAATGGCAATGAAATTCTGCTGACCTGAGCTCCTCCAACAATGCAACATGTATAATAAAATACAAAATAATAAGTCTATATAGATGTAACTAGAATATGATATCTACAAGAACTTAATATGAAATTAAATAATGTAGCTTAAGACTAAATTAAATATGGTTTATTACGTTCATCTCTGTTCCCAAATTCAGTCCAGATCCAGTCCAACTTTATTTGTATAGCACATTTAAAAACAACAGTTGACCAAAGTGCTGTACATCAATAAATATAAAAAAAGCAGCATAAATACATTTAGACAAAACAAATGTAAATAAAGACAATAAAACCATACTTGTAGCCACAGACTGAAACACTCTCCTACATTTTTAAAACACAACAAAATAGAAAACCCCAATTTAGAAAACACAGACTGATCAATCAATCAATGTTTATTTATATAGCCCAATATCACAAATGTTACATTTGTCTCAGTGGACTTCACAGTTTGTACAGAATATCAGTATGACAATACGACACCCTCTGTCCTTAGACCCTCACATCGTACAAGGAAACACTTCCAGAGAAAAACCCCACAGTTTAAAGGGGAACATGGGAGAAACCTCAGGGAGAGCATCAGAGGAGGGATCCCTCTCCCAGGACGGACAGACGTGCAATAGATGCCGTGTGTAAATCGAAGAGATAATACATTTTACAGCATGGGTAGACCAATCAGACTGATACGTCTTATACGTGGTATGCAAAAGCACAGGAGAACAAGTAGGTCTTTAAACAAGATCACAACACTAACTGTACTTCTCTTTCCCTCTACAAGGTGGCATGAAACCCAACACCCTGATTTTGGGTTTCTATGACAGCTGCACCCCTGAAGACTTCTTCCTCCAAGACTCTGCTTTCTGTGACGCTTCTATGGAACTAGGGAGTGAGGGCGAATATAATTTCGGGGTAGATTTGCCGTCGTTACAGGCCCATTTCCCCCCGGTCCGACATGTGGAGAGCCCCCGCTGGCTGTCCCCAGAGGAGTACGTGGGGATCATTTCAGACGCCATTAAAATGAACAAGAATGTGTGTGTCGGGCGCTATTTCTTCCAGTTGGAGGGCGAGGATAAGGACAGTAAAGTGGACGGGTCGGAGCGGACGATCGATGTGTGGCCGCTCAACCTTCTGCAGCCGGGCAGCCGAGACTACGAGGACGTGTGCAGCCTCTTCCTGCTGCAGATGGCCTGCGTGCTCAACATGTCCAACAAGTGGCGCCACGCGAGGATGAGGATCTTCCTGAATGTGGAGACTGAGTCCAGCGACCAGGGCTGGGTGGTGAACGAAGAGACGTTTAGAGAGCTGCTGAGGAAGCTGAGGATCAGGGCGTCGATAAAGATCGTGCCGTGGGACTCTGTGGTTCAGCATCACCTCCAACCCGAAGAGGAGGAGGCTAAACAAGCTCTGTCCGAGAACTTCCTGTCTGCAGTGAACAGTATGTTGATGGAGCACAGCTCGCAGGCCGCTGTTCGCTTCCTGTATTTACCTCGACCCTCTCCTCAGCGCAGCCAGAATCGACAGTACCTGGCTCAGGTGGAAGCAGTGACCAATAGTTTGGGGCCAACGCTTCTGATTCACGGCGTCACCCCTGTCACATCCACTGATCTGTGAGCATGAGGAGTGTTTATTGATATTGTACGTGCAGCAGAGGCTTATCTATGTACGTTTAAACTCTGGCCCTATTTACACATAATGCACTGTTTGTAACCGTTACTATACGTCCACTTACTGCAGCTTTTTCTGTTACTACTCAAGCTTACAAAAGGTCAACAGTCAAGTGCATTTTTAAATTACGCCCCTTGAGGAGTTGCATTCAAATAAGGATATTTTCCTATTTAAATATACTTGAAATGGATTGGTGATCGAGCCATGAAATGGAGGAAATACTTATGGGTGTGATTTATGTGGATATAACCTCTTGTCTGCATTATATTATCTTAGGCGGAAATACAAAATGTGTCGGACTCTTTGGAACAAAACTCAATTTGTTTTGATGAATACGGGTTTTCTAGGATTTAATATACATTTATATATATATATATAACATTTCAGCGATGAAATTATGAGATTGTGATTACAAGTTGGGGAGACATATTTACCTGGTTCAGTTTCTTAATAGTATTTTGTTAACGTACAGTAATTTTTTTTTTTTTATCTTTTCTTTTCATTTCTTACATTTCTGCTGGTTGCTGGACCCAGTGATTCCTTTTTTGGTTTTGTTTTATAGTTTAATTTAATAATTTTACTATGTGGAAATTTCTAGTCGTCAGAAGGGAACTGCTTTGTACATTTGACCTCAGAATTATTAACAGCATTTCTTGCTGTTGTGCGTGCGTACTTGAAAAATAAACTGGGATTTTGTGCTTCATGGTTACTCGTTAAGTTTTGGACCAACAATGATACCAACCAAATCTAAACCAAAGCAACTTGTTACATTTTCACACAAAAAATGCATTATTACCTATTCACAAATCACAGAATGAAAAGTTAAACCTTTATTGTTTAGGTTTTGTTTTGTGACATTTGGAACAATTACACTAACTTGTTTTTATTTAAACACAAACAGGAAGTTACTGAAAAAACCATCCGCACGTTTCAATGTTGAGACAAAGCATAAAGAGTCATGTAAACTGTAACAGTCATTATTAGATGTGCAAATTACACTGTTGGTTGTCATTGTGGTAAATATATGCAAAATGTACTGTGCATCGGTATCTTTGTCACTGTCATACTGTCCTATCAGAACATATGTATTTAAAAGATTGCTTTAATGCAATACAAACTGATTGTGTCCGAACATCTGTCCTGTTTAATAAGATAAATACTAATCTAACAATTGAGATTGAAGTAATGTATACAGATGCGTAAAAACTTGATGCAATAATTGAAGATACATACATATACAAAAGAGAATGTGCATGTATAGTTCAGGCTATTTATTACAGAATAGTAGACCTCATGTACAGTATCATAATAGCCTAAATTTAGCTATCAAACGTCAGTAAAAAATGTAGCTTAAGTGCAGATGCATGTCACATGACTAATCCTCCTTTTCAACAAGCGTTTCCTTGCATACTCTTTTATAATATTTGTCGGCTTCTGCTTTATTTCGTAGCTTTCTGATGAAGAACGTTGACATACGAAACCAGTCTGGCAGCAGTATTGTGAGAGCAATGTTCTGTAAGGTGATGGGAAAGAGGGAAAAAAAGACGTTATAAGATATCGCAGCAGCTGACGGTTGGTAAGTGATCACAGCCTCTCGTTCCTCTGACCTGGAGAGCGTGGGACAGAGAGCCACTGGTGAAGCTGGAGAGACCCACAGTGTTCAGGGCCTCGCGGACAAACCCTGAGGAACTCCTCACGAAGCAGTTGGCTGTCCTGTTGTTCGTCATGTTGGTGGACACCATGGGGAGCCACACACTGACTACGGAATAATGGACTGTGTTTGGTCAAGTTAAACTTCCCTTCACATCATACACATTATTATTATTATTATTATTATTGTATAAGTGCCTCTGTGACTTGATTGCATGCTTTAATGTTCAAAAAGCTCTTTATGTTTCTCATACTGCCTGTGCTGCAGCACCTCTTTTCACCCTCTGTCTGAAACCAGAGCCCTGTCTGCTCTGATTGGTTAACTGGTCGGCTCTGTTTTCATTGGTTAACCAATCAACCAACCAGCCAGAGCCTGAAACTCCAAGTTCTTGGAGAGTGTGAAGGAGGATCTGATGGTTCACCGTGTCGAATGCAGCAGACAGGTCCAAAAGGATGATGACAGAGGAGAGGGAGGCTGCTTTAGCCGTGTGCAGTTCCTCAGAGACAGCAAGGAGAGCAGTTTCTGCCTTGAAACCAGACTGGTGCGGATCAAGAAGGTTGTTCTGATGGAGATAACAGGAGAGTTGTTTAAAGACAGCACGTTCAAGTGTTTTAGACAGGAACGGGAGGAGAGAGACAGGCCTGTAGTTTATAACATCGGACGGGTTGAGAGTGGGTTTCTTTAGGAGAGGGTTTACTCTTGCCTCCTTGAGACTGTTTGGAAAGTGACTAGAAGTTAGAGAAGTGTTGATGAGATGGGTGAGAAACGGTAGAATATCAGGAGCGATAGTCTGAAGGAGGTTTGAGGGGATAGGGTCCAGAGGACAGGTGGTAGGACGGGCAGAGGTAATGAGGGTAAGAACCTCACTTGGAGAGAGAGGGGAAAAGGAGGTTAGTGTGTGGGTGAACGGTGGGTCTGGTGACCCAGTGGTGAGTAATGGTGAGTCGGAAAATGAAGAGCGAATATCATCAACCTTTTTTTCAAAGTAGTTAACAAAGTCGCTTGGAAGAAGGGAGGAGGGGGAAGGGGCTCTGGGGGGGTCAAGGAGGGTGGAGAAGATAGAGAATAGTTTGGGATTGGAATAGGAAGAATGGATCTTATCTTGAAAGAAAGTGCTTTTTGCCTGAGAGATCGAAGAAGAGAAAGAGGAGAGGAGAGCTTGATAGGTTAGGAGGTCGTCAGGGTGTTTGGACTTCCACCATTTCCGCTCAGCTGCCCAGAGGATGGGCGGGGAGGGGATGTGAGAGGACAGAGAGAGTCCAGAGAGGACAACTTAAAACACCACTGAGTGACTGGAACTCACAGGCCAATCAAATGACTCGATCCAATCAGCCAGTGAAACCACTTGATCCAATCAGCCAATTAAATCTCTTAATATAATGGGCCAATCAAATAATTTTATCCAATCAGCCAATAGCTCACTCGATCATATGCAGCTGCAGGTGCCAGGAGTATATTTAAAGACGGCATTGTGTATCTACTGATGCCAGGACATATTAGAAAAAATATCGCTCTTTTAACCAATTTACTGTTATTTTGCAGAGTTCATGTGAATATAGGATCATACTGTTTCAATTATATGTCTTTTAAACATGGAAATACAATTATAGTTCCCGTTGGAGTTTGAAAAAATCGTTATGTTTTTTGCAATAATAATAATATTATTATGTTTTACATTTTGTGTTTAAAATTAGACAAAAAAGCTCTGAGGAAGTTTCTTAATTGTACATTTGACTTCCCCATAGTCTCAAACATATAACTCAATAACAAAATCACCAAAATGTATCCAGTGGTTAAAATTCTGTGGTAAAATACTGGGTGTTTCTCAATCGCGAGTAAAGCTGCTTCAGAACCACTATTTCAAGCATACTACGTCATCGAGTGCCGCCGAAGGACTGTTCCAATCTCCAGCATACTTGGAAATCTACCGAGCCCGGCGTACTCCGTTTGGAGAAATATCGAGGCTGCATATGAGTAGACTCCGCGGTCTTAAAATCCCCACAATGCTTTGCGCACGGACCAATTTCCAAAATCTGTGGCGGAAAATGTAAGACGGGGCCTCTCATATGACGCACACCTGCACACTTGCTAGCCTGTTCCACTCTTCGTTTTCCAAATGTCAGGAAGTATTCTTGACTCGCTTCTGAAGAAAGATGCTCGGCAGACATGTGCTACCAAGCAAGCGCACTCGCGATTGAGAAACACCCACTGTTTCCTCGACTGGAAATGGCGGCCATCTTGGAAGATGGTCGCACATTTGGAGATACAAGTGGCTAATGTGCTTTTTTAAATAAATGACTCCAAAGGGATGAACATAGACCTTTACTAAGCTAGAGAGACTCACCTAAGTGTCACTTTACCTGCACTGTGATTCCCTTTGACTTGTACTCAGCATGAAGACACTGAGAGAAATATATTACAAAAATCTGAAACGTATAAGAAAGTCACAAAGAAAGGCAGAGCAGAGGGGGAGTTTCATGAAATTGCTGATAATTGTGAAAATAACAATATCTGGAAGGGAAAATACCTTAGTGGCACAATAAAGAGACAACAACGGCTGTGGACGGACGCCAACCTCAGAGGGCATGTTGATGATCAGCCCTCTGGGACGAGATGAGAGACACACAGACATAAAATATTCTTATTTTCCTATTATAGTAACCATTAATGTCTGGATGTTTGTTACAATACCTTTCAATCATGCCTGGAAGAACCAGTCTGGTCATCTAAGTAAAAAAATATGAACCATCATTCTTTTTTAATGCAGGATTCTAAATTGTGTAACAGTTGAAAAGCCGACTTCATAAACGCACAACCAAACAGAAAATACTCAAATATCTTACTTGAGGAACTGATAGCATGTTACAGTTGATAACCTGGGTGATTCTCTGGTTAGAAAAACACACAAGGTAAACAGTTATACACTGTGTGCTGCGCTCAGACACTGTGGGATCATGCTTTAAAGGTCAACTATTATGCAAAATCCACTTCTTCATGTCTTTTCTACATCAACATGTGTCCCCTCTGTGTAAAGAGATTCTGAAAGTTTCAGGAAAACAGATTCTCTCTCTTTTTGTCCTGATCCATTTATATAAAAACCTGTCTGAAAATGAGCTGATCAGATTTTGGCCACTTTATAATGTCATAACGATGTTGTGGCTTGTGTAACAAGCCACAACATCTTATCACCATCTTATCACCGTATCACCTGAATCTCCTCCTAGAGCACCATTGCGTTCTTTTTAACCAAATATCTCTGAGGGGCGTGGGGAGTGGCTCCTTATTTTCATCTAAAGTAACAGACAGAGAATCAGCACTTTTGAAACAGGGCTGAAACAGAGGGGATTATGGGATGCTACAATGATCTGTTTGGTGTTTCAGCCAAACACTTCAGAGACATGTTTTGTATATATCCTGTCCCAGTTTGACTACGGTGATACAATTTATAGATTTGCCTGTCCCACTGTTTTGGCCAAACTTGACCCACTCTACCATGCTGCAGTGCGATATATATCAAATGCACCCTATAGGACTCATCATTGCACACTGTATAGCCTAACTGGATGGTCCCCACTTAGTATGCGTAGGATGCAGCACTGGTTTTTATTAATGTATAAAGCCATTTTAGGTAAGCTTCCACTGTATATGTGCCAGATTTGCTCCAGTTTGTAACTCTTACAACCTCAGATCCAGTGCCTGGATACGGGTCCAGATTCCTGCCGTGCGGACTGAGGCGGGAAAAAGGAGTCTTTTTCATTATGGTCCTTGGTCTTGGAATGACCTTCAATCACGCCTTAAACTGACAGCACTTGTCCCTATAGCCTGTTTTAAATTGAAGTTGTCTGAGGTCCTTACCACCAGCTGCTCTTGCAGTAATAAGTAGTACCTTTCTTACTGTCCCAAATGTGCACAATGTAGTGATTGCTTTTCGTTTTGCATTTTTTGTTTACTTAGTTGTGTTCTCTGTATTTTATATGTCTGTGTTATGTGTACAAATGTGTGACGTTGCTGCCTTCTTGGCCAGGTCAGCATTGTAAATGAGATTTTATCTGGTTAAATAAATGTTAAATAAAAAAATAAACACACACACACACACACACACACACACACACACACATACACACACACACACACACACACACACACACACACACTCAACCATTTGATACTTTTCCCGCTCTTATGTGCCCATCCCCCCACATGGATCACACCTGGCACACGCAATACATGTTCAGTGTCTATTCTTTGTATTTTTACTGCAGTTTTTCATGTATACCAGTAGTCTGATACAATATGTACAGTTTGAAAGGGTGTTAAATGAAATTTGGTGATGATTAATGGTTTTTGTGTTAATGTAATAGCAGTTAAAACAGGACCGGTCAAAGTTGACCGCGAACATCAAAGTCAGGGGGGGAAAACGAAGACAATAGGAGGGTTAAAAGATGAGTGTCTATCTCATGCACTGAGAAAACTGAAACGTGACTTTAATTATTTGTATTATGTCAACAAGTTTCACATAACTGTTTTAGGTTAGTTGAAAGCAATAATATTACGTTTAAATAAAATAATATTAGGTTTAACTTAATATTGTTGCTTTTAACTAACCTATTACAGTTATGTGAAACTTGTTGAAACAATACATTTAATTCAGGTCAACGTTGATTGTATTTGGTCTATCTGTTTAATGTTATTTTTCTATACTTGCTTGTAAACCGCTTTGAGCACCAGGAAAAGCGATATATAAATAACATGTATTATTCTTATTTATTTCAGGCAGCAGATCGACCACCAGAGGGCGCTGCAGCAACAACAACCCACAGCTGGAGCAGGATGTGAAACAGTGGTCAACTATTTGGATATCTGCTCAGGTGAGTTAATGAGCAAATGTAATTATGCATTAGTTAGATATTATCAAAATATATAATACAGGTAAAAGTCCTGTTTTCAAAATGACACCCAAGTAAAAATAATAATAATATCCTGCTTTATATATATTTGTATACTTTATATTTGTAATTCAACATGTATATTTTCTACTTTTTTATGTATTGCTATTTTATTGCTATTGAGATGTTGACATTTTAAAATGTTTATTTCTTGTCTTTTAATTGTATTGTACAATGCCATGTATTTTTACGCTGCTGCAACACAAACATTTCCCAGCTTGGGATCAATAAAGTACTTCTTATCTTATCTTATCTTAAATACAAAAGTAATCGCTGCTGAATATACTTAGAAAAGTAAAAGCGCTCATTTCGCAGAATCATATATTTTATTTATTGCATTGATGCATTAATGAATGAATCACATTTCTTTGTTTATTTGAATTATTTATGAGTGCTGGGTAGCTCAATCTATAATAATATATCATAACGTTTTAGTTGATCATCTGCATCTGTGCATAATGTGAAAAGAACCTCAGTTTCCTATTTAAGTACTCAAGTTCATTCCTCCACTGTTCTGGGTAATTATTTGGTCAAATGTACAGATACATCTCTGTCTGCTGATCTTTTTAATGCTCTGGTTATTTATTCCTATAGTCTCCTCTTTACAAACCTTACTTTTTTTTGGGGGGGTTGGGGGAACACATATAAAACAAATACACATCCTATATCTTCATCCTGCAAAAAAGAGCCATACGAATTATACATAAAACTACGTACAGAGAACCAACAAATACATTATTTATTAAACTAAAAACACTAAAACTACAAGACCTGGTTGACTAAAAAACTATTCAAATTATGTTCAAAGCCGCAAATCAACAATTACCTCATAATATCCAGGGACTTTTCGCACGCGGAGAGAAAACATACACATGTTGAGAGGAAACTGCATTTTCAAAAAACCACCCATACGAACAAATTCCAAACTTCATTGCATCACATCAAAAGGTGTTAGTCTGTGGAATAACTGTAATGATGCACTGAAATATTGTGCAAGTTTATCTAAACTGAAACTATTATTTAGAAAATCATATTTGTTATTTCAGTCAGACAACCCACGTGTTTCTTTAACATGTTTATTAGAAGCAGCATATAGTTGAGTTTGGCGTCTAGGCTCGGGCCTCATCACTCCACAGATATACATAGCACAATGAGTGATGATTAAATAACTAACCCCCTGAGCCTACAGGTGGAAGCTGGGGTGGAAGCTGGGGTGGTGGTGGGGCAGGCAAGCAGCAGCGACGTGGAAGTAGCTGCAGCAATAGCAGCAGCAAGCAATGCAGAGAGATATCAGGCAGGTTAAATAGAGCGGCATATTAAGGAGGCTCTGTTTGGTTGGTTGTAGAGTGGCAAGGGGCGTTATGTATGAATGCAGCACAAGTGCTCGAGTTGACTGCCTGAACTAGCTCGCAGGCTTCGCCCCATTTCTTGTAATTGTAAAAGTTATTTATTTTTGATTGTTTTGAAAAACAAACATGACGCTGATGACGATTACCTAATATTTTATTTACAAGGAAAATGTACGCTAGAGGGGGTATGACCAGAAACGTTTTTTTAAGCTTCTTCTTGACCCTGTTGAACATGACAGAGACTATTTGAGAATTAAAAAAAAAAAAATGTTTGTACTTTGTTATAATTATTATTATAAGTTAAAAAAAAATATATATATATATATATTATTATTATTGTTGTATGTTTTGTTTCTGACATGTTCAATAAATTGACCAAAAAAAACCCCGTACTTGTCTTTAGTTTTTTATTTGCAGTTCAGGGTGCCATCACAAACTCAGAGACCTTCTCCAGAACGGGGCCGATAACAGTGACAGGTTGTCCATTACCTAACACAGATTTTAGGTAACAACACTCTTGATTTGTTTCACGAAAGATTCCCTGCTTTCTCAGCTCTAAACCTTTGATCCTGGCAAAGCTGAGGGATGTCACTTTCGTCTAAATTAATTCACATGATCAATTAAGTGGGGTCAAATCATAGACTGTGTATATATGGGGTCAAATAGGAGGCAAATGTCTCTAAGCTTCTTCAATGCTTCTCCCACAGGTTTTCTTCCTCTGCATTTGATGAATTACTAACTTTGACAAATGGATTCTCCGGACAAAGCAGAGGACTCCAAGAGAGGCAGATGTACTGATAAAACAGCTTAGTCAGGCGTGTCAGTGCAGAGCTCCATGAAACAAATATATTAAAATCATATCCATTCAGTGTTTATAACACACAGAAAACTTGACTTTTATAAAGAAGTTTATTTTCTTTTTTCATTGTTGCTTTTTACATATATTTATATAAACCTGACTATAATATAACTTGATTTTTTTCCAGCCAAATCAACCAGACACAAGAACATTTTCTCCCCACAATCACTGGAATGAACTCTTTAAACACATTTCAATTAGGTAACAACTTTGAATAATGAATACATAATATGTCACTGCCAATCCAAATGTTGCACACTGTATCTACAGTACATATACATGTACACATGTGTAACACTTGACATACTTAGTCCTGTCTATCGTTTAACTTTATCTTTCCATATTTAACAGATTCACATGATCAATTAAAGGTCCCCTATTATACTGTTTCTCATCAATATATTATAGGTCTCGGATATATACAAAACATGTCTCTGAAGTGTTTGGCTCCAAATACCAAACAGATCATTGCAGCATCCCATAATCCCCTCTGTTTCAGCCCTGTTTCAAAAGTGCTGATTCTCCGTCTGTTACTTTAGATGAAAATAAGGAGCCACGCCCCTCTGAGAGATATTTGGGTAAAAAGAACACAATGGTGCTCTAGGAGGAGATTCAGGTGTTAAGGTGGTGGTGGTGGGGGGGGGGGGGGTTACCTTGGTTGGTGATTGGCTAATGGTTACACAAGCCAAAACATCGTTATGACATCACAAAGTGGCCAAAATCTGATCAGCTCATTTTCAGACAGGTTTTTATATAAATGGATCAGGACAAAAAGTGAGAGAATCTTTGTTCCTGAAACTTTCAGAATCTCTTTACACAGAGGGGACACATGTTGATGTAGAAAAGACATGAAAAAGTGGATTTTGCATAATAGGTGACCTTTAAGTAATAAATCGTCAAATTTCAGCTTTGAGAGTCAGGCATGTGATTTTAGAAAACGCATTTTAGTTTAAAAACAGGCACTGATAACGACTTTATTTTGCCTACTGGACTGTGATTGTTGGTTCTCAGTATTGTGCAGTGCTGCCTGTGCATTATGCCGAGCTGATTCTTTACCTCAACCGTGTGCCTGACCTTGCTTTTAAGTGATCTCTGTCAGTGCTGTCAGCCCCGTCACTAAGAGGCTTGCAGGCAGCGGATCAGTTTAGCACAGCCTCACCTGACTAATCTGATTACTTCGACAAGGCTGCTATCAATGTGCAAGACAGGACCAAAAAAAGACTAGCGCATCATACATACGTAAGGGACCATGTTCATGCACAGAAAGTTTAGCTGAGGTCCCTGAAGCTGCGCTAAATCTGTGTGCTGTCTCCTTAATGAGCTTTTTTTAATGTACATGTTCCTGTAATGGACAGTCCCCCTCCCCCCAAAGCCTTTCTTTCCAGCTGTAGTGATCTGTACATGGGTAAAAAAAGCAACAGCACACACACTTTCAATAGCTTGCCACAAGATATTTTCAGCCCTCAGCTCCAGCTCAGATACATAATGCCTTTATTAGCATTGCTACAGTAGTATGTAACACTGACCTCTGATCAGCCTCAGGGAGGGAGGGACTCAACAAATATGTCAGCAGGAGTATGAAGAAATGTGGCTGTTACTGAAT